AGGAGCAGGAAAAGAAGGGCGGAGTGGGGCGCCGCGTTCGCTGAGAAAGGGAAGCCGAGCTTTCGGGGCTTCCTCTTTCAGACCTTCGGAGTGTTGTGGCCACCTTCCTCACGCCCGGCTTCTCCCCGCAACCCACCTTTGCCTCCCGCCCAGCTGCCCTTAGATGAGTCGCCTCCATTTACAGAAACAGCAATTCACGCCGTTTCTTTCTCGGGCGGTAGAGTTAAAAAGGGGTGGGGGGAGGCGAGGGAACGTTCAGGCGCTTAAGGACATTCACTGGGGACATAGCTAGGCAGAGGGCGGGGCAGGCTCCTGTTGAATTACAGAGAGAGGAGGGGGCGTTTCTTGCAGACTTCGCTTGGGTAATTGTGGCAGACTGTAGTATCAGGAGGCTTCTAAACAGTAATTAGGGGCCTTGACAGTTTCCAGAATAGGACTGGAAGTTCCGTTTTTGAAGGTGTCCAAAAATGTTTGTCCAAAAAGAAAATAGATAAAGGGGGGGGGGAACACCCAGTTTTTCAACAAGTGGTTTTGTTTTTCTCCTTCACGGAAAGGATTTTCCGTGAAGTATTTCCATCAGTGTGCATTTCAACTGAGAATCCATAAAAAAGATGCCTATAAAATCACCACTTTCTTATTTACCTATTATATTTATATGCCTTCCAATTATTTCCCTTTTTTTCTTTAAATGTTTACAAGGGCTTGTCATATTCAGGTTTCAGAATGGTGTACAGTTATAGCAATGGACAGAGGGAGATATAATGGGAGAAGGGGATTGGAAGTTTTTAACAACATTTCAAAGCCCATTGGAAGCCAGGTTTTCAGATTGCTAGAGACTTTGGGCTCAGGCTGATGATTTTATTTTAAATCATTATTTATTAAATTTACATATAATCAGAAAAAGAAGCAAGGAAAACTATGGAACATATAGAAAAAGCACTGCAAAATTGGCAAGAAAAATTGAAATGGGATTGTTATTCATCTGCATATTAAAATACCTTATCTCAGTTTGAAAGTTGAAATCAGTGTTAAAACAAATACAAGAATTGGATTATTGTACAGTAATTGACAGCTTTAACCAGTATGTTTCAATAAATCAATCATCAACTGAGAAATAAAGAAGAAAGGGTTGAATATGGGATAGAGGGGATTTTTTTATGATATAATCTTAAAGAGGGAGGAGGGATAATAAATTGGTTTGTAACTGCTATAAAGAAGACCGGAAGTCGTTTCTTTAATTATCTTTTTCTTTTTCTTTATTCTTTATTTGTACTGTTCTCACACTTTTCTTTTATCTTTTTTTTCCCTTAACTTTCCTTTATATATGTTCTTATGTTTATCTTTTATTCATGTAAAATGTTATAATCTTACGTTAGAACTCCAAACTATAGATGTGGTATGAACCGTTTGGTAAAATTATAATCCAAAAATTATTTCCACTTGAGTTAAATTCTATAACAGATTTGTTTTTTAAAGATAAAGTGAGATGGGCAGCATATACACATTTGAAAAATAAATAAATTAAATAAATAAATAAGTTTTGATATTGACACATATTCTCATAACTTCATTTATCATTCTTCTACCTAAGGTATTATTTGTACTTTCCAATAAGAAGCATAGAGTATTCCAGCAACTGTTATCACATAGAAAGCCAGTTCAGTTTAAAGGAATATAAGGTTTAATAATATTTAGTAAAAACATGATGGGCTGAAAAAAAATCTACCTTTAAAATTGTTTCATTCTATTATAAACCATTTTCCAGAATTGTATGTTTTTAAATGCCAAGTCCGTCTATACTGAAGCTATCTTACTCCACAATTTAATCATAGATGAAAAAATAGACCTGACCTATATTATTGAAAGTTGGGTGAATGAGGAAAGGGAGTGCCCTTTACTGAGATATGCCTGCCTAGGTTTGGAGTATTGCATCAGTCTTGACTCTCAGGTATGGCCTTGGGAGACAGGAGGAAGAGCCACAGACTAGACAACTGTCAGATAAGCGGCAGCTGAGTCCACAGAAGGAATGGGGGCATGGCAAACCTCTCAAACTTAAAGATTGATGTCAGCCTTGCTGACATCTTATATCAATTTGAAATTTGATATAAGGTAGTCCAGACAAGAAGCACACCCAGAAGTACTAGCTCTAACTTTATTGTAAGGTTATGTTAACAGAATCTTGCAAGTCTGAAAGTACATCTCCCCCACATACCATCACAGTGGCCCTTTAAATGCTCTTTTGGCCCATCACTCCGCAGAAGGGAACAAGTTGCCTTAAATTGGGCCACCAGATGGCAATCCATAGTTGCAATAAGAATGGAAAAATACTTTGTTTTCCCCCTCTCATCACATGATGTAACCCTTAATAAAGGGATTAATATATCCAGTATTTTAGTACTGTAGGTGATTTCAATCTGCAGTCCTGGGGATGGGATCAGGATTGGCTTGGGATTTCATGGTGGCCATGACAATCATGGGGTAATCCCAGCATCACAGATCTGGCACACAAGAAAGGCTTGTTATTTATACCTAAGAATATCTGAGACATAAATTGGGGGAGGGGAATATAATATCTAGTCCCTTGTCATAGACCAATCACTTTCTGGTAACTAAGGGGCTGATCAGCATCACAGCTCACTGCAGGGAGGTTGGATGCATTTGAACAGCCGAGCCCAGATGTCTGATGAGCCCAACTGCAAACCCCCCAGCACCTTGAGTGGCAATTCTGCTGAAAGCTTGATGGACCTCTCAGATAAGGAAGCAACAAGAGCTCCTGACAGTCAGCCTCTTTTTTTGGGACAGTCCCAGGTTTAGTGAGGAGGTCTGGGAGATGAAGGCTCCAAAGAGAGGCTGGGAACAAAACTGGCAGAAAATGAGCAAATCTGACTGGACACAAGTATATGCCTACATCTGGGCCTACATTGTGGTAGTGAGGGCAATGAAGTCGACCTACCCCTCCACGTTTATGGTGTCCATGGAGTGCCATCCAGTGACCCTTTCTAAATTGACCTGGACCCTTTTAGGGAAAGGGAAAGATGGATTGGAAGCTATTAGAGGATGCTGTGACAGGTTAGTGGAACACTTTGCAGATAAAATCACTTGCATTCACTGGGTTAGAAGCCAGCTGGATGCAGTTGGAAGAGGTGGCCAGGACACAAGCTTGTGATATCACCTGGGTAGAGTTTGAACCTATTATTCATGAGAAAGGGGACAGAGTCCTTGCTGAGCTGTGGACTAGGTTCCTATTTGGCTTGTATTAACTGCCAGAGAGGGGACAGGGAATTCAGGCTGTGGTGATGCCCAATTGGAGGAGGGGGAGATGCCAGAAATCCTTAAGACTGCTCTGGTAGACACCCCTCTTGAAGGGGCCAACCCTGTATCTTGCCATACTAGGCAACTATAACCAAGTCTCCAACCTCCTTTTTTGGAGAAGGTTGTGGAAAAGGCGATAAGGCGGCAGCTCTGGAAGAAACAAATTGGTTGGACATTTTTCAGTCAGAGTTCAGGCCCAGGCATAGGACAGAAACTGTACTAGTCCTTATGGTAGGACTCAGATTGCACATCCTATTGGTCCTGCTCAGTCTCTTGTCAGCTTTAAATACCATCAACCTTGGTATTCTTCTGCATTAGCTGCATGACTTAGGGGTTGGAGGCACCCTGGTGGTTCTGCTCATTCCTGAGCAGGTGGTTCCACTCAATATGGGGAATGAGAGGTCAAGCTCTCAGGCATTCTGATATGAGGTGGCTCAGGACTTGGCCCTCTCCCCCTTGTTATTTAATATGTGCATAATCTCTGGGAGAGGTTATGGTTTGGGGTATGCTATCATCACTATGCAGATGATGCCAGTTACACAGCAGTATCCTAGACTGAATAGGAGATATGGTAGAATCTTGACCTGGCCTGGAGGCTATAAGGGGCTGGATGGGAAAGAACAGGTTGAGACTTAACCCAAATAAGATGGAGTGCCTGTTTATCCAGATCCAAATAATTCTAGAATCATTTCAACATTAGCTGTTGATGAGGTTGTGCTCTCCCAGAAGGAACTGGTCTGTATCTGGCAGTTCTCTGGACTCACAGTTCCTTCTGGAAAAGCAGGTAGGGGCTGCAGCCAGGAAAACCTTTGCCCAGCTTTGGCTGGTGCACTTATTATGGACATTCCTGGAACAGGAAGCACTGTCAGCAATCACACCCTTGTCACCTCCTGAATGGACTACTGTAATGCACTCTATTTGGGACTGACCCTGAAAACAACTCAGAAACTTCAGCTGGTATAGAATGCAGCCTCCTGTGTACTAACAGGAACATCTCACTATGGTCACTAGAGAGGAGTGCCTTTGAAGAAAATATGCAGCAAACTTTGGGAAAACGAACTTAGCCTGGGAAAACAAGAAGGCATGAGAAAA